TTATTGCAAAATTTTGGTCCAAAATTATAGATCTGATCAATAGAATTCTTAATTGTGATCTTCCTAAAACCTATCTATTCTTTTAAATTTTTGGCCTTCTTTACGGCTAACTAAATTAAAAATGGAGTTAGCTGCACTTTTATTAAGCGCTGCAAAAACTTTGATTGCACAAACCTGGAAACTTAACAAAACTCCTATGATCCGCCAATGGTTTATTAAGGTATGGGATATTACAGTTATGGATAAATTAGCATCGCAAATTTGGATGGCTGAAGTATTATCAAAGAAGAACATATTCTTGTAAAAATGGTTTCCCTTTTTTGATTTTGTTAATAATTCAGAAAACAAGAGTTGTAGCCTCCCTGAAAAATATATTGATATAATTTCTTATTAAACAAATTGTTGTTATTGCTAGTTATTATCATTGTTAATTTTGAGTGATTTCTATATTCTTACAATAATTCAATTGTATATCAAGACTTTATTTTCTTTCCCAGGCTAAACATACCCAACTCTTTCAGCCTTTCCTCATAAGACTTGGATTCCAACCCTCTCACCATACTGGTTGCCCTCTTCTGGACACGCTCGAGCTTGTCAACATCCTTCCTCAAATGTGGTGCCCAAAAGTGGACACAGTACTCCAGGTGGGGCCTGACCATAGCAGAATAGTGCGGAACTACCACCTCCCTTGATCTGGACACAAAGAACATAAGAGAAGCCAGTGTTGGATCAGGCCAATGGCCCATCCAGTCCAACACTCTGTCACACAGTGGCCAAAAATACCAGGTGCCATCAGGAGGTCCAGCAGTGGGGCCAGGACACTAGAAGCCCTCCCACTGTTGCCCCTCCCACTGTTGCCCCCCCCAAGCACCAAGAATACAGAGCATCCCTTGCCCCAGACCGAGAGTTTCTATCTATACCTTGTGGCTAAGAGCTACTGATAGACCTCTGCTCCATATGTTTATCCAGTTCCCTCTTGAAGCTGTGCATGCTTGTAGCCGCCACCACCTCCTGTGGCACTGAATTTCATGTGTTAATCACTCTTTGGGTGAAAGAGTGGCCCTTTACTCTTTCACTACCACACTCAACTTTAGTCGATTTTTTTTTGTAATTGTCCTTATCTGCTGTGTTCTGCTTTAATCTGCATTGTTTAAAAAACGTTTTCTTTAGCATGATGAGTGACTAAAGTTTAAAAGTTTGGTTTGAAGGTGTCGTCAGAGATCACATTTGTTTCTGTCTCATGGCGTGAGAATTTCACTTCCGTTGAGTGTAAGCACAGCTGGCTGGGTCTGGCTAGCATTTAGCTCATCGGCTGATTTGTGTAACAAACCCTTCAGCTCTTTATTTTACCAATTTTTCACATAAACGAGTTTTAGTGCTGAGGGGCACCATTGTTGGGCTGTGCTTACGGCATCAGTTGGCCTTAATCCAGACCTGGCCAGGAGGCAGCATCAGGGGAAGGCCTCGGCTTCTATGCCCTGTTGTTGGACCTCTGGAGGAACTGGTTGGCCACTGTGTGAGACAGGATGCTGGACTAGATGGGCCGATGACCTGATCCGGCAGGGCTCTTCTTATGTTCTTAATTGGGTTTTGACCTTACGCTCGACTGACTGAGCTAAGGTCTCTATGTTTGCCACAGGCACCCTTTGCTTTCCCGTTCTCAAGACCAGGTAAGAGACACATACCTTAGAACAGTCTTCTCGCAAGTGTTTTCTAGCAATAGATTCTGTGATTTGGTGATGGACTAGACAGAGTTTACTTCTATGCTTAACTTGGGTCATGTCTCTGTTTTCCCCCAATTGATTACAGTTCTTTTGTCTGTTTTGCAGGTATGTTGATGATGTGATCAACCGTATTGATAGAATGTTTCCTGAAATGTCCATTCACTTATCCAGGCCAAATGGAACATCTGCAATGTTGATGGTAGGTTAAGGTTTGCGTATTCTGTGTTTGGGGCATTGTTTTCAGAAGCATCGTAGTTCTTCCTTCTGCCAAGGTAGGTTAGATATGGAAAAACAAAAATGTATTGGTTTGTGTCTGTGTGCACACGCGCTCCTGCCTGAAAGTCATAGTTGACTTTTGGCGGCCCCTCATGGAGCTTGAACGTTTCAGAGTATTGTGTGCCTCTGTGTCCCAGCCTTGGTATTCCTTGGAGGTCTCCCATCCAAGTACTTGCCAGGGTCTGCCCCACTTAGCTTCCAAGGACTGGGCTTGCCTGGGCTATCCAGGTCAGGGCAAGAATGTTTTTGTTTTTTTTAAGACAACATAAAAGCCAAGAGTGGACTCCCTTAAACTAGGAGAGGGTGCTAATAAAACTCCCATGTGGAAGGAAAGGACTCAAATTTTTAAGAAAATAAAAATGTCTTTGCTTGGCACCTAAAGGATTGCAAATCCAGCACAAGGCCAGCTTGGGGGAGGGGAGAAGTTCCACTGTCTCGGTGCCACTGTTGGGAAGACCCTGCCTCCGGTGCTTACCCATGTAACTTCTAAAAGTGTCTTCTTTTAGGTGATAATCAGCACTTTGAATTGTGCATGGAGGCCAACCAGTAGCCAATGGAGGGTTTTTTTTAAAAAAAAAAAAACAATTCCCCCTGCTAGCGGTCTTCCCACCCTGAACTAGCTGAAGCTTCCAAATGCAGGCAGCCCCATGTAGAGTACAGAATGCATCCTTTTACTAGCACATGGTTGGGAGGATCTAGATTCATGGTTCTCTGAATCCTGACCAGTGTAAACAATAACATTTCACAAATAGTGTGGTATAGTGGTTAAAGCATCAGTCTAGGTTCAAATCTGGGTTCCCTCAAACCCCAGTTATCACAGGTGGTTGTTCCTGTAAAAAGCCACAAACCCCAATCCTCAAATTAGCGTATCAGAAACGTTCGGTCTCTATCACACTAAACCTCAACATGGCGCACTAAGGCTCATGTGTCCACCAGAATAACCACAGAGTAATGTACTAACATAGAGTTAACATAGCAAGAACAGTTAATAGCTGGGACTGTCATGTTATATTTATAAATTGTACTCTTCCAATGTTTCCAATTATTTTCTTGCTGTAATCTATATCTCCCTGTTATGGTTGTGTGTTATCAAGCTATGTGCATTGTAAAACAGTATAAAAATAAAATATATTAAAAGAAAAAAAAATCTGGGTTCCAATCTGGACTTTGCCATGGAAGCTCATTGGGCCAGTTTACACCCACTCAGCCTAACCTACCTCACAGCGTTGTCTTGAGGATAGAATGGAGGAGAATGACATAAGAACACTTTGGGTCCCCACTGGGGATAAAGGCAGGGTGTGAATAAATAAAAAAACAAGCAAGTTGTTAAGAACTCAAGTATGATTAGGAGAGAAAATTGCTTGAGGTTTCCTGTAGGGCTGCTAAGTGGGGGCGGGGGGCGGGGAAACCCCCGCTTTGGAGGCCCGATTTCCGCCACGGTGGAATCGGGCCCCGGGGGGAACTCCGCCCCCAAAGCTGTCACGTTGGGGGCGTGGCCCAGTTCATCGGGGGGGGGAACCATATGGTTTTCCCCCGACAATTTGGGCCACACCTCCAACATGAGCGACATAGCACGTCACTTCCTGTGACGTGCTGGTGGCGCACGTGCGCATCCTGGAGGAGCTCCCAGAGCCCAGCAAGGCTCCCCTGCCACCAAGGGTAAGTACACTTGGCAACCCTAGTTTCCTGTCTTATAATTCATTCTTTCCATTCGTAGTAAGGGGTTGGTTTTTAATGTTTTGTGTCCTCGTGTACTCTGGGTGCCCTTATGTGGCGGCAGAGTGGTGTTTTGTTTTAAAAGATGCCTTTAAAAAAGGCATACAACTGTGTGGGACGTCACCTTTCCTTGTACTCCTACATGTCTTAGTAAACAGTGGCCCTCCACCAATCATGGACCGACGGAGGCCTCAGCCTGGAAACCCCGGCTGGCCACCTCACACCTGTTGGTTTAAAAAAAACCAACAAAAAATATATCCTCATGGAGTTGACAGCCACTGACTAACCAAATGCAAAGCCTTGAGCATTGGAAGCCTTGTCCTGGATTAATTATGAGGAACAAAACTGTGTCAAATTGTGCCATCAGTGTAGTATTGTATCACATTTTATTGTGTTATTAGCTTCCCTGCTGTTTCAGTTCTAAATAGCTCCCACTGTGGCTTTGGAATCCTTGAGATGAACAGAATCCCAGTACGATTCTTGCGAGCTCCATTACCCATAATAAAGCTCGTTGTTGTATTTGGTTTTGGTTAGTCAACTGCCTAATTATCCCGCTTTTCATTTTATTTGAACAGACAAAACATTGTTCAAGGATTAACTGAATCGGATCATTCTTTTTTGAGGAAAAAAATCTTGTTTTCACTGTCATTTGTATTAATTTGTAATTTCACGATTCACCTAGTGGAACAATGAATTAGGTATAATAAATTGCTCCTTCAATGGCCTCTTACGAATCCATTCATTTTTAGCTGCCATTATCTTCCTCTAATTGCTTGTAGGTCTGCTGCGATACTCACACTGCTTTCAGTATGAACCCAAATTTAAAATCATCTTTATTTAATTGCAGGGCCAAATTCTGCCTGGTGCCGTGCTCCTCCAGTGGGCAAGAGTCGATAGCATAGCATTTGCAGGGCTACGTGTCTGTTTTCAGTACTAATACCTATGTAGTTAATAATTAATCGTTAATTTAATAAATAATATAATATACAGGAAGATTGCTGCAGAAATGAGCTCTGAAGGTATTCCAGGGTCCTTGTGCCTTGGATTAGGGGTGCCATCTAGGTTCGCACAGAGGCTTTGTTTAGCACTCTCTGATATTATTTTGTGGCACGTATGACAGGCTCACTAACCGAACCTCTCTTCTTGCAAAATGGTGGATTCTTGTCACAGCCAAAGAAGAATAGACAGGGCAGCCATCTGAATGCAGCCAGCTCATGATTTCTCTGCATGTTGCTTTGGTCCCGGCTGGTATCTCTGCCTGGCACAAAGTTGCAGTTTGTCATGAAGTCCTCTGCTAGACTCACAAAAACAAATGTGTATCCTTCAGGCAAAGACAGCTCTGCTGCCCTGTCCAGTTTCCTGAAATGCTGCTACCTGCACCACAGGCTTATATTGGAGAGAAGAAAGGCAAGGTTTTAACACAAAATTCAAGGCGTACTACTTAACTGTTAAAGGTAGTAAAAAAACATCTTTGTTTGAACCTAGCAAGGTTCTAAGTGTGATATGTGACCTTCTGTGTTATACTGAACTCTTTGGGCAGAGGACTCCCAAAAAGAGATTTTTTTCTTTTTCCGGCAGCGGGCACAGTGATGAACAATGCCTGCAATTTGTTAACTTCCAACATGGGTGTTTAGCAATCAAGAGGTCGGAGATAGCTGGGTGCGCATTAGGGTTTTAGAGGCAGATGTGCCTATCCACTGTATGTTTTATCCTGCTCTTCCTCCAAGGGAGCAGCATTCTTCCATTTATCACTTTTTTCTTCTCAGCAACCTTGTAAGGCAGGTTGAAAGAAGGTGTCTGACCCAAGGTCACCCAGCGAGGGGGGATTCTGATGCATTCAAGTGAGTGGGTGGGTAGGGGTTTGAACGAGGTCTCCCCAGGCCTACTTCAGTGCCCTAACTGCTCTATCACACTAGTTCTGTAGAAGAGAAGATGGTCTTGCAGGTGTGGCTGCACTGTAAAGTGTTGAAATGCCAAGTTAAGGAGTTTTCATTGACTAATCATGAAGTGTGTTGGCTTAAAAATTTCCCCTTCCGACTTCGAGCCGTGTTCGTTATAAACCGTCGGCTACCAGGGGATGTCCCTTGGATGGAGTACAAGCCTTACCTGGAAAGCAAGGATAACAAGCAAATTCGTAGGAGTGCCCGTGTGGGCTCTGAGCAGCCGCAAAGATGCCGTCCTGTGTGGCCGGGTTTCCTCTGGACAATCCACTCTTTCTGTGTTTCCAGCTTACACGGAGCAATTGTGCCTCATTAGGCTGGATTTATACCACATGGTTCAAGCGTATAAATAATTGAAACCCTTTTGCAGAGGAGTGTGAGGCTCTCAGCTGATTGTCAAAGCAGTTTATTGTGTTAGCTTTGGATAGCAGCTTAATCCCAGTGTACCCCTCTGATTTGTCAATTAATCTTTTAATTGCATCCACATATGAATGATGGCAAACATTCAGCTATATTGGCCTTAATGAAGGGGCCGTGCAAGATTCGTTCTCTTTGTGTCCATGTTGCATTCTCTTAAACTCTCTTCCATTGTTCCCAGCTTTAAAATTGCCATAATAATAAATTGCCATAATAAATGGGGAGGTCCTTTTGAGATTTTAACTGTGATAATGAAAATCACTGAACTTTATGTGTCTTTTATGTAAACAATGTAAGTAATTTTCTGGTCGAGAGCAAGAGACATTAAACACCAATGCCTGATCCATGCACACCCACGCTGACCTTCTGAACTTCTTCAGTAAGTCATTTTCCTCCTCTGTTAAAAAATTTATCAAGGGTCTAGCTCAGGGGTGTTGAACTCATTTAAATGAGACCTTGTTGTGCCGGGCCATGTGTGTCATAAAATGTAATGCCAGGTAGCAGAGATATAAACTTTATAAAGGACACAAACACAAAGGGTTATTTTTTTATTTAAAATAAAATCATGCTTAAAACATTAGCACTCTTGCAATATTTTGTTTATTTCACAGTGTCTGATAACTGACACCTCTTGCTCTGAATTATTGCATCAAAATGTCTGTGCTGTTGCAATCTTGTGTATGCTGTTCAGGTGTGTATCTGTAAGCTGCAAACCTACGATGATGCAGCAGCAGCAGAACTGGAAGAAGAAGCAGAAGACAGCCAGTTCCACTGCGGGCCTGATAGAAACCCTCCGGGGGCCTGATCCGGACCCTGGGCCGCATGTTTGACACCCCTGGTCTAGCTGCTT